ATACATATATATATATACATATATTAATATATATATATATATATATATATATATATATATATATATATATGGGACAATTTACTTGAGATTAAAAAAAATAGAGATCGTGAGATTCAACCTCAGCCACATATTTCTCATTTACCTCTCTAATGCTCCGACGTACCGGTAGCAACGGGGTATGTCTAATCATAAATGATTATATGGCAGAGATGTATAATCATATAAGATTAAACATGTTTATACATATATGTCTAATCATAAATGATTATACATACACGTTTGTTCACAGATTGAGGAATCATAAATGATTATGACAATTGGTGGAAGAAGAGGTGGTGGTGACAGAGGTAGCAGTGCTATAAGTAACGAATGCGACAGTGGTGGCGTCGGCAGGTGTCAAAGGTGGTGGTAGTAGTGGTGGCGGTTATGGTGGTGGGGATGGTGGCGGAAGAGAAAGGAACGGGCGGCGCATATTTCTCATTTACCGCTCTAATGCTCCGACGTACCGGCAGCAACGGGGTATGCCTAATCATTACTGATTATATGGCAGAGATGTATAATCATATAGGATTAAACATGTTTATACGTATATGCCGAATCATAAATGATTATACATACATGTATGTTCACAGATTGAGTAATCATAAATTATTATGACAGTTGGTGGAAGAAGAGGTGGTGACGACAGAGGTAGTAGTGGTATAAGTAACGGATGTGACAGTGGTGGCGTCGGCAGGTGTCAAAGGTGGTGGTAGTAGTGGTAGCGGTGGCGGTTATGGTGGTGGGGATAGTGGCGGAGTTGAAAGAAACGGGCGGCGTTGTATAATCATTTATGATTATACTAGGCTTGCCAACGCCGATGCACTGGAGGGTTAGAGCGGCAGATGTGAAATATGTGGCTAAGGTTGAATCTTAAGATCTCTATTTTATTTTTAATTTCAACAGAACGTGTAATATATAATATATATATATATATATATATATATATATATATATATATATGTTTCATAATTCGATTGAATATTAGGCCGACTGAAAGTTAGGAATAAAGATTTTTTTACCTCAAATCAAGTTGACAGTAGATGGACAATTTTTGATGATTCGACCAACTATTACAAATTGGAGATTTAAGACTTTAGAATATAGAAGTAAAGATTGCAAATGGTTTTAGTATTTAGGATGACCAATCCATGTAGAATATCGTTAGCATAGGTAAAGAAGGTAACAGACGATATGCATGGAACGAACCATATATTCTCGGAACAATATTTGATAATATTTTACAGAAGGTTACGGTTTTGAAGGGTTCTATACCCATAGTTGTCAAACTCGTACGAGTCACGAGTCGAATCGTCGTCAAGTCATATTATATCAGAAAAGAGGCGACTAGGAGTATGAATCGGTTTTTGGTGTTACTCGGTCAAAAATTGCGAGTCCGTATCCAACTCGTTCTGAGTGGAGTTAAATCGTTAATCAAACGAGTCACATTTATTGGTAATAAGTTGCTACATTGGGTAAACGAGGGTCCCAACAACTGATTCTGCCTTCGATGGATGAAGAAGCAATGCCTACTTCGTCTTCCATTTAAAGATCAGTGTTAAATAAGGGTTGGATTGAGGTTCGATGGCTTGGTGATGATTAATTTGTCTTCCACTCAGCAATCGCATATGGATATGGAGGAGAAGGAGGCGAATATGGAAGAGATGGAGGATGGGTGAGAGTGTTGAGCGTTGAGATGCCGACGTGAGAGAGGCGGAACACATAATGTAAGGATTGGATATTAGGGTAGACAGATTTTTATTTGGGGCTGATGTAACTATGTATGTTAATATTCAACATATGTTTTTATATGTTTATTATAGTAATTGTGAAACCTGTATATTATACGGGTTGATTAAAACAAAAAGTTATATATAAATTTGTAACCATTAAACATTTTTAATATAAAAATTCGAAATAAATACAATAGAAATAATAAATAAGTAGGTACTTCAATTTCATAATAATAGAAAATTATTGTCATATAACATACAATTATAGGTAGATAATATACTCGTATAATTTAATAACATCTATTCATGATTTGTGTTTAAATAAAATTAAACGTGGTTTAGGATTTAATATTACACTTTAACTTTGTAATTGTTTATTTAGAAATTGCTTATTTATTGATTTTTTATAATTTATATCAAGATTTGTTAATTGATATATAAAGTATTGTTTGTAAGTTAATGCAATGTAATTTGTTCTTTTAATTAATTAATTAAAAACCACTACCTTGGAAAAAATTGAATTATAATAAAAATACTTTTTTGATAATATTTACTATATAATATATTAATTTTGAATTCCTTCATAAACAGTAGCATTTTGTTCCTATTGGTGGATTTTTTTTTTCTGTTTTTCTTTGCTAGACTTTTTTTTTTCCTTTTAGTTTTATCTTCTGGATAATGGATTCCACGTGTTATCTCCTAAAAAAACCCACTGTCCACCGCCATACGCACTGCCTCTCCAGCTAACACGATGCTTCCCATCGCCTCTCCACCTAACACGTTTCCTCCATCGATTTCGTCGCACATGAAATCGGTGGTCATCAAATCCATCTTCTCTCGCTGATTTCATACATCGTCTTCGTAATCGAACCCTGCATGCATACTCTCTGATTTCATCCATCTTCCGATTTCCTTTTCTCCTATTTCTCTTAGGGCCGTTAGGCCTGAAATGTTTCTTGATTTTTGCAAATCGTAAATTGATCTGAAAAGTTGAATTCATCTTTGTACCGTCTTTGCGATTTTGATTGTGTTGGTGGGTTTTACGGTCTTTCAGTTTTCCTTTATGGATTCGTCTATGTTGTTGTGTGGTCACCGGAATAGAAAAGAAGCGGTCGGCCGCCGATGGTGATGGTGTCGACTAGGGATGAGTTATAAAACCGGAAAACCAGGATATCCTGTTTAACCGGAATCGGATCCGGTTTAACCGGGATATCCTTAAACGGTCCGGGTATTGGGTTCCACAATTAATCTTATCCGAGTTCCGGGTATTCCGGGTGCGGGTATTTCGGGTTTTTGAACCGGATTTCTAAAAAAAACCGGAATCGGGTTTAATGGACCGGAACCGGACACTAAAGGGTTATCAAAAAGAATACGCCTGATTCATCTGTTTAATCTGCTCGACGAGAAAGGCTTCTAAAACAAATAAAAAAAATAAAAAAAATAACTTCTGTGATCAACATCAACTAGAACATTCACCAATCTCGTTTTTTTTTTTTTTCGCCGTATATGTGATCAACGACAAGAGACCATAAAACCATAATGTTAAAAATATTTGTCTTATAGGGGAGGGGCATTAGAGGTATTTAATGTTCTTCTACAGTATATGTCAGTTAAAGTTTATGAAAATTCTTTTGGGTTTGTCATGAAGTTATATCCACTGTGGGTTTATAATTTGGTGCCAAGAAAAGTTAAATTTACCATATAACACTCCAATTAGGTGCATCATGATCTGATTATGGAAATGAAATGATTTTGGTGTTGTTTTTTAATGGGTAAATGGCACAAAAAACACTCTTTTTATACAGAAATTCGATTTTGACATCGTGTTTTTTTTTGTGTCAATTTTAACACTGTGTTTTCCAATTTGTTATAATTCTGACCCTTAACCCGTTAACCAAGTTACATGCTGACGTGGCATGATGACGTGTCAGTTTTGATGACGTGGCATGCTGACATGATATGCTGACGTGTCAAAATTGAAATTTTTTTTCTCACAAAAAACAGTAAGTTTTCATTTTTTTTTCGATTTTGACATTAAGTTTAATTTTTTCTTTCAACTTTAACGCTATGTTTTTTTATTCCAAATCGAACATCATTTTTCCAATTTTTGTTCAATGTTGACAATTTTTTATTTGAAACCCTATAAATATTTTTTTAATACATTTAAACCGTATAAATATGTTTTTTTTTCATTTAAAAACCATAGTTTTGTATAAATACAATATATTTTTTTTTACACTCAAACCATATTTTTATGTATAAAAATGTGGTTTTTAAACGAAAAAAATATATTTATACGGTTTAAAATGTAATAAAAAAAAATATATTTATACGGTTTCAAATGGAAAATAGACAAAATTAAACAAAATTTGATAAATGATGTTCGATTGGAACAACAAAAACATAGTATCAAAATTGAAATAAAAAATTAAACTTAGTGTCAAAATCGAAAAAAGTGAAAACTTAGTGTTTTTTGTGGAAAAAAAATCAATTTTGACACGTCAGCATATCATGTCAGCATGCCACGTCATCAAAACTGACACGTCATCATGCCACGTCAGCATGTAACCTGGTTAACCAGTCAAGTGGTTAGAATTGTAACAAATTGGAAAACACAGTGTCAAAATTGACACAAAAAAAAACACGGTGTTAAAATCGAATTTCTGTGTAAAAATAGTGTTTTTTGTGCCATTTACCCTTTTTTAATTGAGGACACAAACATTTTGTTCCACCTCTCTACTGATTTCTAATATATAAAACGTTTGATGTAAAAAACCATAACAATTTAATTAATGTACATAACTTGAAAAAAATTGAAATATATGGTTTTGCAAAATAGGTTTTTGATTTCAAGACGTTGGTTATCGGTGGGGAGTTTTTATTAAAAAGTATTCCGGGTTACAATATATATTTTTTTTGTGTAAAAATTCCGGGTTTCGATTTCATTTACCGGTTTTCGGTTATTTCCGGGTCTAATACACAAATCCGGTTCCATTTATCAATTTCCGGTTCCAACCGGTTCTATACCCACTATACCCGGTTTGATACCCCGAACCACTTGCCGTATACCGGTCCGGTTCTCGGTTCTTATAATCCTTTAATTCCGGGTTCCGGGTTTTCCGGTCCGGGTAAACTGATCCGGTTTTGGACCCAGTTTCATCCCTAGTGCCGACAACAGGAGAGTGCAGCGGTATAAAATTTTCTCCCTCCGTCGTTATTTAGTATCCAATGAAAATTGAAATCAAGCGGTTAAGGATAACTCATCGGGTGTATTATAGAATAGTTGCAATCAATTGTGATTGTTGCGTTTCTTCTACATCCAACGAAAGAGAGACAGTATTAGCCGATACCACTTATCTTTTCTTCTTCGTTTCTTTTTTATCTACCTTCCAGAGAGCTACGCCGATGACCAGGAAAAGGAACAACCAACATCGTAGGGGTCAAGGTATTGTTCCTCGAAACCTCGTCGACCCTCGGATTCTGATTCTTCATAGCTTCCTTTTGATCTCCGATCAACAATCCTGCAGTCGGCGTGCCATGGTTGATCGGAGAAAAATCGTCCAATCACGTCTCTGTAAAACAATCGAGAAGCCCTCTACCCTCAGATGGGTTCACCGTCTCTACCACTTCGGAATGGAACCAACATGAGCGAAAGGTTTATTTTTGAAATCCAAGTTTTCATCATTTCTGATGATTATTATTAAAATTACTGCTTATCCTTCATCATTGATGTGATTTGATCTACAATGGTGCAATCAAAGTTGTAATAGACTTTGAATTTGATCATATGAACTCCAAAATATGATTTTATTTCTTAACTGTTGACTTTATATGAATTATAATTTCTTTTCTCAGATGACAACGACCATACTCACGCCGACAGGATTGTTAGGGAGTGATGCAGAGGGTTAAAGATCAGTAACTTTCAACATATACAAAACCAGCTGCCATTCATGATGTTTCTATTTTCATGGTCTTCTACTTCTACCGTTGTTGCCCAAGAAAGCCCTAACATTGATTTCTTAGAGATGGTTAGTAATCAACTGTGCTTTTATTATTTCTGCCAACAGTCACATTTTCTAATCGTTTTTGTCTTTCTCAACTTAAGTTAAATTTACGATTCGTATTCAATGTCGTCGATTTTTTTTCTAATTTTTAATATTACATTTGTTCATAATTGTAGATTATATGATGGAGGTTATCAGCCATGGTCAGAAATAAGATATTCTGGGAACTGATAGCCTAACACTATCTTCATAAGCAACAAATCGAAGGCATTAACATCCTCGATGGTAATTTTAAATCTCTCAATAGTTCTGTTTTCTAAATCATTAATCTGTGTATGAACATTAGATTATATTTTACTTTTCCGTCTGGAGTTGGTATAGGTGATGTAAATGAGAGATATAGAAGGAAGCACATGTAATCGGTTGAAGTATACTTCAATTTGAGTCATTTGACTATGTTTGTGACATTTTATTTGTTGCTAATGAATATAGAATGCATGCCAACTGTTTGTGGAATTGTCTAAGTGAGTCTATATTTTCAAAGGTAAATTCAGACAAAGAACTTGGAATGTCAAAGATCAAAGCTATTCTCAGACAAAGAACTTTCAATGGTTTTATGTGTTGCCTTTACCTGTCTTCTTGAATTTTACAATGTCATAGATAAAATAAGCTTTGGGATTAGGCCTCAACTTTCATTAATCTATTTATTATAGCATCCCACTTCCTTTTTGTTTATTCAATGGATTTTGTGCATTTTTGAGTTGATAAATTTTAGTTTGGGAATGAAAAGGAGCAAAATTATCGCTTCAAAATTTACATATATGAAGGTTGCATTTATAAATGTTTGGTACATGGGTGTGGTGGATGTTGGATGATCATTGGTAGTGCATGATTCTATTGTGTTGTGGTTGTTATGAAATAAAGCCTGGATACTTATAATACTTTGCTTATTGCTCTTGTGTTATTCTATATTTTAACAAATTTAATGATTTCTAATAAGTAATAGTGAGTTGTTATTTGAAGCACTTAATTTGTGTTAAAGGAAGAAACATCTTACTTTCTTTAATTTATTTTTTCTTTGAATTTTTGTACAGGGGGTCAATGGGACCAATAGATTACAAGGAAATAAATAAAATTCAATTGAAGATGGTATTGTGATAGGATAAATAGTCACGGTTCTGCTATTAGTAGATAAATATTAAATAGTTCTAAATTTTTGCTGACATTTTCCTTAATCATTTTTGTTATGTGTTTTGGAATTCCTATTTAACCCATACTCTGTTTCTACCATGTAATGAAATATATGATATTATAAGAAAATTATGTATCTCTAAACATAAACAGACTATGTATCTCTAAACATAACTTATCTGCCCCATGCAAAGCATGGGCAAAACCCTCTAGTTTAAATTGACTTGCCGTTTTACATTTACAATATCAACACACTTTTAACTATTTTGAAAAATAGTATTTCAAAATATTATTTGAATATATTTTTTATATAATAATATGATTTATTTTTTGTATTTAACTTAATATTTTAATATTTACAATAGTATATTTTTATAATCATGTCATACTTTTTATCACCACATGTCTAATTATCATAACACATTGTATCTATGGTTATAATTTCGTTAATTAAGTTAAAAGATTACCTTTTACATCCTACTTTGTATCCCCACATTGAAAATATGATTATCAGAAGTTTAAAAAATAAATTATGATCGTATTTTTTTATAGATAAGTCAGCTTAATATTTTTTTTTACCACCAATTGTGAATAGAAACGTGATGTCGAGTTTTTGATTTGCGACTAAAGTAGTTACTGAAAATTAAAATCGACGCATCAAAGTATTTAGAGTTTTTTCATAATAAATATTTTTTCTCAATTTATGGACCAAAAGTATATATTAGTGTTAAATACAATATCTCTATTTTCTGACCTTAATTATAGTTAAAATCAAGATAATAGTTCTGGGTGAATTGAATTTGGGTAACACATAATCTACATTTATTACATTCCTAAATTTGAAATCCATTTATTATATCAAGAAAGGAAATTCATTTGACTTATAAATAATATGTGAAATTAATAAAATGAAAAAAAAACCATAAAATGTCATGTGAAAAGTTTTTTAATTGAAAAATAACCACAAAAATAATATGTGATCAAATCAATAACAGTGTTACATGTTTCAAAAGGATTTTCATTTATTAGAGTAGATATATCTATAAATAATTTTTTTTGTATCCTGATTATTACGAGTCGCGAGTCGAATCATGAGTTGAAAATTACCTTATCGAGACACAAGTTATATTCAC